GGAAATAAATATATTTATTCGAACCTTTCGAAAATAGTTGGAATTAATCCATTGGAACAATCGTTAATTACATGGAATGGTGAAAGTGATACCAAACAGTGTATATTCTCGTCTATCGTTCAATATGAAAAAAAGCCTATCTTCATCTCAATATCTAAATCATTATGTCTATCTCAACTATTGGACGATAAACAACTACCCACCAATATGTGCAAAATTAGCAGATCACAACATATTGATCAAGATGTGATTCATGTTGACAGCGATATTTGGTTATTTTTAAATGTTCATAAAACTGAATATTGTCAAGTTTCTTCAACATCAAAAGAATTTATTGAACCATTGTCAATATCAGAAGCAGCGCAGATAAATCTATCATGTAATGAGTAGGTGCCTAATTCGACTTATAATATAAGTGACCAATTCCTAGCACCCTTAGGAATAGAAATAGATTTAGTTTTACCTATACATATATACCCTCACACCCTGTAAGCTTAGGAATAGAAATAGATTTGGTTTTACTTATACATATATACGATCGCCAACACCCACCGCTGCACCCTCAATCGAGATATATTCGTGTTCACACCCACCCCGGCACCCTCAATCGAGATAGATATAAATGAGGGTATGGGTGTATGCATGCATAACTAAAACTAAATCTATTTCTATTCCTATTTAGTCATTTGTTATAAGGGTTATATAGATATCTGTTTATATTCGAACTGATACTAGGCTGTCGGGGGTCGACTTATAATATAAGTCGAATTAGTCATCTCATGGTCTATTGGCGAATTATCAACAATTTTTGTCTCAAAGCAATTATTAACAATTCACGATATAATATTATATATTATAGTTCTATTAGTAAGTGTTATCTGCTCTGTACTTTTGTATATATGGAGATATTTTCTAAACAAAGTACGTGGGCCTGTACGTCGTTTGAACACTATGTGAGGCAACTCAGGAACGGACCAGGAGCCACTTCACAAGAAAGGAACGATGGTTTTATTCCTTTTAAGACTCACAGCTAGGATATCATAATACGACCGAACAGCAGCTAAGAATAGAACGTCTGTATATATATATGAACAACAAACCTAATCTGACCACACAAAAGGCGCGAAAACGCAACGAGAAGAAGAAGAACCAAATGAGCAACCGAGGACGAGAAAACACAACAGTGACAGTACAATCCGTCACACACTATTCTAGATGACGTTTTCACTGTACAATTGTATACATCTAGTTTTCTATACTTGATTCTTCTCTAATAAATGTTGATATTCAGTATTCATGTTTTGTTATGGAATATTATTAATAAATAGAAACCTTTCTTCAAAAATCAGCGCATATACCTTATTTTCCTACTATTATTATCTTAAAGTTATTCACAAAACCCTTTGTGGTTTATAACTTACTCCAATATAGCACCCATGGTACTTAATCGGTAGATCTCATCGAGTTCTATCTCAGTCTAACATTGATCTACACTGGTCTGAACTCTGAGTCAGTATTTGTTGGATATAGTAAAATCATTAGTAAGGAGTTACTATTTAGTGACTTCTACCACTATAGTATATTCANAGGGTCATACAGAAAAAAAAAGTTTGCCTGTCTGTGTCAGGGTCAAAGGTCAAAAAAACATTTTTTTTGAAAATGCTCAAACGTGAATAAAGGATCGTTTGGGAGGAGTCTTGGGGCTGGATGTTGATGGTGGAGTAAAGGACGGGATGAGAAGAACTGTGCCGGGGACGGCAAAGGTAAAAAACACTCCCCCCTTTTCCGAAATGCTTTAATTTAAAAAAAATCCTTCGAAATGGGTTCAACCATTGACCGAACGGATTACAGGATTTACTTCCGTATTCTTTATTGCCGTAAACAATATGTGTTTACAAATTTTCTTTTCATTTACAAATCGTCAAAGTCTTTTATTGCATGAATCTCTCACTCTCAATATAAGTTATATGGTTAAATCTGATTGGATAATGATCACAATGATAGTTAAAATTCTTGGAAAGTTTTCTCATTGTCGTGTCTAAGATTTATTTTATATGTCAAACGCTCGTAGAACTCATCTAAGCGAATCCCAACGTTCGTGAATATATGCATTTATCATGTATTTCTTTTTATTTTCTGATATATGCATCAAACATTTTGTCTGCATGCCAAACTATCGGAGAAGTTCACAAAAATGGTTTACTAATGTCTGTGATTGTCTTGTTTCGTTGAAAATCCTATTTCTTTCTCAAAGGTTTACTTTGTACGCCAAAAGTTTGTAAGATCGAATGTAAATTTATCTAACGTTCGTAATGTGCATAACAATTAAAAGTCTTATTTATTGTACTGATTTGTCAAACGTTTCAATTCTATATCAAACCTTAGTAAAGTTGCTTTTATCTATTACAAATGTTGGTAATGAATATAAACTATCACTATCTTCTTTGTTATCTCAAACTAGTCTCAAACGTTCTATTTCGATGTCAAACGTTTGTAATTTTATCTTAAACTTTTCCTATCTCTCGTAAGTAATTCTCCTGAATAAAGAAGAGTCAATTGTGTTTTTATTCTCAAACATTCGCTTTTCTATCTCAAACGTTCGTGGGACAATGAGCGATTATTTCTAACGTTTGTGAGGAATCTGATTAGTACGAACTGCGATGTCTACTCGCTTGTCAAAGGTTTATTTCTCTACACAAACGTTCGTATCTCGATATTGATTCATATTTTCAGTCTTATCGAAATAAATTTCGCACTCTCGTGCGTATGTATACCTGTTTAGTGTCTTGATCGTTATAAAAAGAAGTGTGAAATCTCATTTTATAGCTAGTGAAAAGACTTCGTCAAAATGATAGTACTTATGCTTCACGCTTCAATGTGATCATTAAACCAACAGAAATTTAATTCATATAACATACCAAAAATCGTGTTTATCATATCTAATAGTTGACGACGCAAGCTTTGTATCTCATTTTATTAGTATTTGTTGATGGTGTATCAAATAATCCGTTGCCAAACTCATAGAAATACTTAAATATGTCAAAGAGAAACGCGCAATCTGAGAGAGTGAGTCATTTTGACAAATAATTGTACATGAGAATACAATGAATCATGATGTTATGTTATTGGTGAATGAAGAAATGCGACAAAGAATGTGTCAAATATTACACAGTCAGTTAATAGACGTAATAAAGGATCATTACATTATGTAACATTGATATGAAAACATTTCAATACAACAATGATATCTTTAAGTCGAAAAGAAACTCATAGTATATCGTTATTGGTCACTCCTAACAAACCAGTGAAATTTGTCTTTTTAAGTTTGAAATGAGTGCCATATGATTTGCAATGAATAAGAAATCAATCTACGAATAAATTAAAAATCTCATGAGAAACGAAAAAGTTTCTTCAAATTTTCATTGAAATCTAAACCAGTTCAGTTGATCTCCTTTCCATTTATTGCGAATGATAATCAATAGTAATGCTATAATGAGACTAGTGGTCTCAATTCAATCTTGGTCTTGATTATATTTAGTAAAAAAATTGATCAATCGCTTTCATATCATGTCCCGATCATCATAAAGTGCAACGACCGAAATCGGTACTTAGTCTGACGATCATAATTTCAAATGAAGTATCGGCCAGAGAGAATATAAAAATGATCTCATGGCTAACCAAGTCTTGTAAAGTTGAATTCGGGACAGGACTATCTGGTATCTACATTTCCATGTCCAAAAAAGAACGTACAACTGCGTCAACTAACATAAATATAAGAGAATACATGTAAAATGAAATCTCGTCCTGTAATATTTTGACTTAGTGAAAAGATTGCGACGATTCATATTGATGTAACACAAGAAAAGAAATTTAGGATTGTATGAATCAAAGAAGACTAAATGTCTCTCTCTTTTTACTCTGATGTTTCTATGTAGACGATGAAGAAACAATGACGGTATAATAATTGAACACACAGAAAAGTCCAGAAACTCATGGATCTTTTTGAAACAAAGCAAATTCCAATAAACGACATATTGGCACATCGTTCTATTTTGTAAATCGCGTACGATGGTATAATGAGGAGTATTTCGTGTCAATTACATAGAAAGTACTTTAATTGTTTATGAAATTGGTTTCCATATGATGACGGTATTATCACATTCTTTGTCCTTACATCGGATGCTGTATAAGTTATTTTCAGTATTAATCATGATTGCAACTGTATTACGTTTATGATGAGTATTTATCTTCGGACAATATCGGTAGTTTCCACCGATATTAAAAAATAAAATATTTCTGTTGTAATCACCGCGTCGACATGAAAGAATGGTTCCTCGATGAGATGGATCGGCTTTTATTATGTCATGTACAAACATCGTATATTTATCGACAGTTGGATCAAACAGATTCTGTGAAAAACAATTTCGAGCAGGCGTTGAATCGGATTTGATTCTGTTCAATATATTAACGCTACGTTCACAAAGATCACTGACCAACATTTCTTTTAGGTAGTCATTCAATCGGTTAATCATATCACAATTCTTTCGTCTCTCATAATCGGAAGTTTCACAGTTGAATTGGTTATTTTTAAAAGAGATTATTGGAACATGCTGATTATGATTAAGACTGATCATCGACGAATAAAGGAGCTGTGAAGAAGAATATTCGTTTTCACGATTGAACGAGAACGATTCGCACGGAGTTAATGGATTGTTTTGACCGTAGTTAATACAGTTAAATAATCGAAACTGTTGGTTTTTTCCATACACATTAACATCCACAGCTAATTTCCATTCATTCAATTTGTTTTTAACCAATATATGTGCGGCATCCGATATTGAAATATTTGGAATCGGGAAATAACACGAAGAGCATTGTTTTCGTAGAACATCTACGTGTTGTGATAGTATTTCAATTAATTCTGGTATTGTATATTGAGATTTATTTGAAACTACATCGAAAGATTGGCATTTATGTTTAATAATTGAAAATAAAAGAAAATGGATAAATATCTTCATGAAAACTTTCAGTGATGAGATGTTATCGAATAACACTGATGGATTTGCATGTATAAAATGATAGGAGATCTTCTCAGATGTTGATCTTCAATAAAAACAGACATGATGTAATTCGTCAACCAATATACAGCTTTGTAAATTAACAACTGATTCAACAGATACTTTTCCCCATAATTACACCAAAAACAATTATTTTATCAAGCATTTCGAATAAAATTATTCACGAAACAGAATACAATGAGTGAGAGATCGTACTTACGCTTCTAACACCAAAAACTGCTTCAAGGAAAACGTGTCATCATTTATTTCCATCGTATTGAGATAAATGTCGGTATCATTTAAAAGATGAAACATTGTTCTAAGGCAACATTGAAGACCAATATGATGATTTTGTATATCGAGATTTTTATTTACATAATACTCGAAATCTACATAGGTTTTAACTGGTGCATTGTAAGGAATAGATTCATACAAGCATCGTTGATATACCGGACAATATTCATACAATATAGTAAGTTGGTCAAATGTGAGAGAGCAATACTGACGAGATTTATTTTCCTTTTCGATACTAATGCAAATTTCTGACTTATCATGATTATCTTGCATCATTGGATTTTCGAAATCAGTTAAACGATAGAAGATTGATTTATACGGAAAAAGACGTTTTATCCATTCTTGAACCGAAGTCATTTGACAACAATCGATTTCAAACAAATACAACCAAACCAATTAAATTTGAATTCAACATAAGTAATAATAGAGCGCTCAAATATTATCAATCAACGAATTTCATGAAAATTCATTTTGATAACGAAGTTTCTTAACTCCATTCGAGATCATATCGGTCACAAAAGACACGATCCGCATCATGGATGCGTCTTCTTCTCTGCGAAATCTGTAGATATTCTCAAATATGCATTTACAAAAATCGATATGAAATTTATGTTTCATTATTTTGATAACAATCGATATACAATCCAATATCAGGTTTAATCTGATTTTAGTCATATTCATTTCATTGCATATATTTTTGAGAATTTGTTTAACAGATAGAAGAGTAACAAGAAACAAATGATAAAGGAATTTCTAAATGGTTTGAAATGAATTCTTTTGTTTTTAAATGAATGAAGGAACGAAAAATCAAAATAAATAAATGTCATTGAGATATAATCAGTTGACTATTTGGTAATGAAATCAGTGTACGTGATCCTGAAGAATATCAATCAAACGAAGATAGATATACGTCATTTGTACTTACCGTTGAACCAGCTGATTTTGACATTCTTGCATTTGATTCTTAGGTTAACCATACTAGATGAAACTTGCTTTGCCTTAAAAAAAAACAAAGAAAAGAGAAATACAATAGCCAATCTATGTGTTGTCGTACTTGATCATTCCAGAGAGTCATTCGAATAGCAACACCATTTTGTCCGACGTGAATTTCGCGTCGACTCCATGAATAATTATTAGAAAATCCAGTTGTTGTACCATAATCACGTAAAACTTGTATATTAACATCTAAATAAAACATGAACCATAAGAATATCGATGAATCAGATTGGATCATATTCATCAATAAACAAAGGAAGAAAGCAGCGAAAGATTTCTTACCAACGATTGAATTCAATGGTAAACTTTCGATTTCTTGCAATGTGACAAAATTAGCAACTGGTTCATATGTGAAATTCGAGACAACTTCATGAGCATATGTACGAGAAGTTGCGACAAGTTGAACGTCATTGGACAAGGTTTTATACACATGATCAACTGTTTTTATCGACAGATGAGACATCTCGTAACACTACATTGAATCAGAAAGCTGTTTCTTCGGTCCAACCATGCATTACCTTTCCAATAATCAACGTATTGGTCATCATGTTTGACTGAATGTTAAACGCTACTAAGTTGATCGAACCAGTATCATCAACAAGATCCCACGTTGTTACTTCGCCGACGCCTGTTGCATTAGTGAAAGTCTTTTTCGGGTGTTTGAAATGAACGATAGCTCGTAGTTTCCAACTGAAACCGAAATAAATCAAATCAAAATTCATTAAGTCAAGAAAGGAATCAATTCATTTAATAGCAAGCATCTAGATTTTGTTATTGCAAATCTGATCAAAACAGAAATTCAGCAAAACACAAAAACAGATATTCCAAAAATGGATGTACCACGTACGGAAAGTCAACATTGATGTTTATTTCATTTATCTTTAATAAACGAGAATCGTTTTCTAAAAAAAAAAAACATTTCAAAAGTTCAAATCATTTCAACCAATATCTTTCTCCAACATTCTCATGACGGATATTTTTACATCGCATGACAGTCGATATAAAGTCAGTTCTATCGATACGTTATACCTAGACATTCACTCAAATATGTCACGCCAGTTGCAGATCAAGTCCAGTAAATCTCAATCGGCTTTAACAGATTCAAATTCTGTCTCGACTCGTGAAATAAAATCTTTTTTTTTCAAAACATTCATAACACTTGCAGAAGCTCGTTGATTACCCTGAATTTTGATTTGATTATTTACAGAAGCAGCTGCAGCATTTCGTTCGCTATCAACTGCTTCATTTCCACCAGCATTATTATTTTCTGCGACAACAACAACAACATCTCGTTCACCACCGTTGTCAATACCTTCAACAGTACGACTATTTCATTCATCATAAATCATTTATTTCGTCTTTCTTACCTGAAGATTCTTCGCTTACACCGATTGTTTCATTCCATTTAGTATTAGTATTTCTATGATCTTCATATTCTACACTATGATCAGAGTTCGAATCACCTTGTTCATCGTTTACCATTTCATCATCAGATTCACTTGATGATAAATCATTATCGCTAGAAGAATAAATATGTATGAAATTATCCAAACATTCACATAGAAAAATATTACGATTCATTGGTTGTATTGTTTGACATGACGATCGAAGCTTTTTATTCTTTTATCTGAAACGAAAAGACTGACTAGTCTAAGGTATTACATTGGATTCAAATTGGCATGAAAAGCGGAAAAAATAAAGAAAAATTCATTGATTAGAATTAATTGTCGACGATGCTTCATTTAAATGATCGGTAGTTTTTTTCGTTTTCGTGAACAGAATTGCCTTTGGGCCTGTTGTGTTATTCGTTTCTTCGACTTTACCTCTACCTTCTTCTTCCATTTGTCGAAGTATCACCAAATACTGATCTTTGCTTATCTTTCTTTTTAAATTTGCAGGAAGCGATGATAGCAATAATCGATCAGATGGATGTTTTTCAATATATTCTTTTATGTGTTTAACTTCTGCTTCCGGTATACCATTGTTATCTAAAACATAAATACGTGAAGGAATAATCAGTTGAAATCTGAAACGATCATAGACTTCAACAGATATTCATGGTCGATTTTTTACGTTCTATTTTGGAGGGCGTAATCAAGTGAAACCTTTCTCATTCAGTCGGGTATAGTCTGTCGTGAAACATGCACATACCTTTCGTATGCGAGAAAATATGATCATTTATTGGGTCATATCCTCCTAATATTTTTGTTTGGTTCAGATAATATTTCGTTAGCAAAGAAGCACGAAAACATGTGTCGTAATCAATTAGATGATCAGCTTCATTCAATTGCTGCTCAGCACATATTAGTTTGAATTGTTCATTCAAAACTCCAAACGAAGATACGACATTGACCAGATCAAATAAACGACGCGAGGATGTTTTGAAAACGTGCAAAACTAACGATAAGCTTTCGATCCGTTCCATTGATTTTTGGTAACAACTGAAATTCAAGTGAATGTCAATTCTCGATTTGGCGTAATAACAAACAAACGTCTAAAGCAATCTCAAATACATATACAACGAGATTCACTCAAAAAGGTAGACTGATGTGAGTCACACAAACAGAATGAACACGAGACAAATGAACAAATGTCTGAAGAGATTCAATACTATCTATCAGAAATCGATTTCACATTCTCCTTTTTTTTTAAAGCAGATCGAACCAACACCCGATGGAATTCAGTGCTTTTCTCATAACGACTCAGTCGCACTATAGTGCTACATGCTGGATATCAAATCCTTTGCATACTCTATTGAACTTCGAGCTATACATGCACTGAGCAGGAAATACCTTGCTAGAAAATCATCATCATTCGATTTGTCTGATGAGAGTATGTCGTAATTGTATATTATGTCGTGGACGAATTGTTTTGCTACAAAAACGATCAAGGCGACAATCAAATGATTTTTTTGTGATCATTACCATCATCGCTGTAGCTGTATTCTTCAATATTTCGATGAAGTTTACGTGTCAAAAAGAACAAATGTGGCAATTTTGGTACTTTATCATTTGCTGCAATTGATTCACGATTTGGACGATGTTTATAAGCGATTGCAATTAAGAATCGATTAAACAAACCGTCTTCATTTCCTTCTTTGAGATATTGACCTATTGCGATAAAATGAATACGACTCGTCACAAATGAGTCCTCACACACACCTGTCAAGCATTCAATTGTTCGTTTCGGATGACCGGCAGCGACAATGTTAAGACGAGGTTTGATCATTACATTATGCCGGCTGACTAATTGACGACGAACAATTCCAGTTGGACTATAAAACTCACACATTAATCCACGATCATAAGCAGCACGATCCATACGAGTGCTACCGAAGATACCAAGGAAAACAGCAAGCTCATCCCAGAGCTAAATCAGTTCATTAGATTCATTCGTCAACGGATAAAAACAAAACTGAAATCTCACTTGCAATAGATTTGACTGTTGTTCTAGTTCACAACAGAGAGACTCCATATTGACTGATGCATTCAAAGACGATTTCTTCATAGGAATGCCGTCTAAAATCTCAACTGCTTCACACGCTTCTTTCACCATTCGAATTGGAGCACTTTTTTTCGAACCTTTAAAATAAAAACGTTTGATTCATCATCCTTGATGCGAATGCAATCAGCGTCATCGGACATACCGCTACCACCACAAAGAATGCCGAAAAGAATCAAAGGTATGTTATATCCTTGAACACCTTTGAGATAAGCACCCATGGTCCAATGACATAATGCAATAATTGTTGTTAAAAAAACGTAATGAACTGGTACATTGCTTGATTGACTGATTTCATTGATGATGATCCATGAATATTCATCGAGAATAAGCTGAAGATCTAATTTTTCATTGACGCATTGTTTCATACGCCGAATTCGTTCGCATTTCTCCATATCAATATCTGCAATATGTCGTTTGAAGTCTCAGACGAAATGTCCAACAATGGATTGATGCACTAAATCTTCAACAAGTAGGCTTATCAATTCGCTGTGAGCAAGGAAAGATAAACAAGAAATGAAATCTAATTATCAATGTTCTCTCTGTCTGTCTGTCTCTCTCTCTCTCTCTCTCTTTCTCTTTGCCTTTTCTCTCATCAGTCTCTCACTCTTTTTTTTTTGATTTTTCAAAGGAAGAGCGATTAACACCTGTTCTATTAGCCGAAAAAAAAACGCTTCTGTAAAAACACATTTGAGCAAACAGGGAAAAAGCAAAAAAAAAAATTTTTTTTCATCATTTTCAGCTTTATTTTCTGGATTTTTCGTAATATCTCGAGTATTTCAGTTTGATACACAATTAGAAATACAAACAAGAAAGATTCCACAAAGAATTCACGTCCATCAATATCGATAACATCATATAAAAATCGAGGAGGTTCATTGTTTGTCGATTTTCTTCTTTTCTCACTCTCATCAAAACGACAACAATCGTCTTAAAGACAACACGAAAAATCCTCAACATTTCTAACTGAAAATTGTACATTGATATGCTTCTAATCAATTGATTAGCCGCGAGATACATTAATTAATTATTTTTTTCTTCCTGAAATCGACACATTTGTTTTGAGATTATCTATTTCTGAATAAGTTATAAATCGATATAGATTATTCATTCATTTCTTTTTATTTATCGAGATATTAACGATAAAACCTCATTGATCTGAAATCAAATAAACCCTTGCACATCTACATCCATTCCACACCCGTCATCTTAGTAAGTATTATCGACGTTTATTTATCATATCGAAGAGGCAACTCGCAAAACTGTACGTCAACCGATGTCATATCACATGTCCGAAAAACCAGGTAATATCATGAATGATCACCATATGCATTCGCTTCTTGCTAATATGAATTTCTTTTCTTCTTTCGCCATCAAATGTCGTACCGACTTAAATAATACTCTATATGGATCTTCATGCATTGAGAAGACCGCTCATCTATCGTTCTTTGTTATTGAAATCAGGCATTCATATTTGTGTCTACGGATTATTCCCTTTGCGTTTCAGATGCGGATGATGGAATATCATACATCGTATCTACACACGGACAGAAACAACTATATTCAAACAGCAGCGATATTGTTTAAAACAGAAAAATATCAAATCGAATTTATGGCGATGCACAAAAGCACAATGTCCATCTAGTGTTACTGTTTCATTTGATGGACATTTATTAAGATCCAACGATCATCACAATCATTTTATTGAATCGAATGAAATAAAAATTCTCCAACTTCGTCATAATATGAAAAAAGAAGCTCAAACATCATCGGTACCCATTGATAAAATTGCAGAAGTTGGTTATTCAAATATGATTGTTCAAGAACAAATGACTGATTCGATTCCCAAACTACCGAATATAAAGACATTGAAGAATACACTTAGTAAACAACGACGTAAAGTACGACCACCTTTACCTAAACGTCTGGAGCATTTGCCACACACGATTCCGATTCAGTATACTATGACAAAACGAGGCGATACTTTTCTTTTCTATGACGGTCAATTAGGAACTAAACGAGGTTTAGTTTTTGCATCTGAAAATGATCTTTCATATCTAATCAAACAAAAGCATTGGTATTGTGATGGAACATTCTATACTTCGCCATCGATATTCTATCAAATTTACAGTATTCATGCGTATGATGAAGGTTTGTCAAGTCCATGTGTCTTTGCTCTACTTGCTGACAAACTTGAAACAACATATCAAGCATTTTTCATCATGCTATTTAATACGATGAACAAATTTCGTAGCCAAATTCAACTAGAAACAGTTACAATAGATTTTGAATTAGCCGTGAAGAATACGTTTGCGAAGAATTTCCCGACGGTTCAGGTACGAATGAATCATTCGTATTCATGCTTCGCTTCCTATGCAAAAGGAACTCGTTTATTTACAATCTTTTTTTATTGATAAAACTCATTTGCTTATTATTTCTTCAGATACAAATTAACAACAATCAATAGTTGATCCTTTTTGGTTTGTTTGATCAATTTCTTTGAATCAAAATGAATCATCGTTTTTTGAACACATGGCAACATACGAAATTTCATTTCAACTGATTCATTTTCGTTGAAATTATGTAGGTTAAAGACTGTCTGTTTTGTTATGGGCAAGCACTTTTTCGAAAGTTTACAAATTTGGAGTGACGTACAGCATTTCAAAACAATGAGCGATTGAGAGTTTGCTTTCGAAGTTTTGCAGCAATTGCTTTGCTTCCAGAAAATGAATTCGACGATGCTGTGCAAGCATTATCATCAAACATCCCTGATACCTATGAAAATGAAATCCATTCGCTTTTACAATATCATGAATCGACATACGGTAAAAATTCCAATTTTCCACCGCCAATGTATAATCACTATAGAAACTTCAATCCGAGAACAATCAATCATCTTGAAGGGCAACACCATAGATGGAAGAAAAGATCATTAAGACCGCATGACGATATTTACAGATGTATTGATATGATAAAAAATGAGCAAATAATCGCCAATGATCAACGTGAAAGGTGTGATGCAAGTGAAGCTTCACCGAAACGAAAAAGAAATAATCGTATTGCTGAAGAAGCATTAGTTCGCTTATGGGAACGATACGACATGTACGTAAAACACTGATGAACAAAACGATTGTGTATGCGACACAGAGCAGAGAGGGGAAAAGTCGCGAAATTATTTAGATGTTTCATTTTCCCTGTCTTTTTGCGGACAAAGAAAGAAGATGATGAAAAAGAGTTCTCTATCGTAAGATGTTTTCGATAAAACAGATCATGAGATCCATACGCAGTACGATTGATATTTGGATCTTTAACTCTCAAATTCGCTCACAAATTACGCACAGTCTTTGCTTGGAAACAATATTATTGAATTCGTATTTGATATTCATATCAAACGGTGATCTTATCTGCATCAACATCAATATTGTTGTCAATATTTTTGGGAAGAACGAGTGCGTGAACGCGAGGTTAATCAAGGTAGCGTGACAATCCAGAGGAGAATGAACTACCGAAGTTAAAAAGAAGAAAAAATAGTACCAAATTCATTTGTTTTGATAATTGATAATTAATTTCAAAATGTCAGCGCAAAAGAAAACGATTTTGCGATCATTGCTGACGAAACGTGAGACGCATTCGGTATTGAACAGCTGTCTATTACCGTGCGTTATGTGTCTGTGCAACCAAAGGTGGAAATCAAAGAAATTTTCGTCGGGTTTTACCCATTGGCTGAGCTCACAGTCAGTGATGTCGCCAAAGCGTTGATTGATTTCATTCAATCAATCGGTTTGAAATGGGAGAACATACGAGGTAATGCTAAAGCTAACATGCTGAAGTGCTTACTACTGTAAACAAATAAATGTTGGGGACTAGATTCCCGAGCGGAGTCCATGCTTGATGTGTACGCCATGAACGTGGTGATAATACACGGTTGGAAAAAATATTATTCCAGGGAGGTAACACCATCATTTTAAATGGAGTAGATGATGAATTTTATACCAAATGGAAGCCCGTGAAAAATAGGATTTATTGATACTAAATAGCGACGGTGATGAAGACCTTAGTGTATCAAACTCTCGAAGTTTATATAATTCTGTAAAATACAAAAGTTATAAGCTACTTTTACCGGCTTGAAAGGTCAAAAACAAGAAAGTTTCTTAGAAAAAAATAAAGAGGGTATGCTGTAGTGGTCATATAACGCAGTCCCGATTGAAAGGATATTATTATCTTTTCACGTTCTCCTATATATGCCTCGTGATAGAGATTAATAGTGATTTTTTTTGTTTTTCTTCTGAAAGAAACCTAGGAAAGAGAAAACTTTAAATAGTTCGTGAAGTGGTATGTAAGTTCCATTTCAAATTGATATAAATCATAAAAAGACAATGGATTGCGGAGAAAATTCGCCACACAACCCGATTGGTCACAGAATGGTGGAGAAAATTATATGACCAATGCTTTACTGATTATTCAAACGCCGATCGCAAGCTCAAATTATCACAAGCAAGTGGTCGACAAGGAAAACGTTGTTCTATTGTAGCGAGACAGATTGCAGAAGAGCAATCAATGACTATCGTCACAGAGAAGGATTGAAGCCATTTCATGTTATTTCAAAGCCGTTAAAAACTGAAACTCATGTATCAAATCGTTTATGGTTATGCGACTGGTTAGAAGACTGGACTGAAGAAGACTTTTTTCATCTTGCATCATCTGACGAGTTTTATGTCTGGATTGTTCGTAGACCAAATTATCAAAATGATAGAATTTGCGCCCTAAATGTCGAAGATATTGAAGACGATGAAAGGTACCGTGAAATGGTCCAAAATCAAGTATGCATTAGAATTTTTATTATGTATACTTGCAAGAGATTGCTTTGGGTGATTAAAGATAAGGGCGAGTCTTGGACTAGTGATTATTTTCGTGACATAATTCTAACTCAAAATGTAATACCTTTTTTTAAGTGATAAAGTTACATTTGTTCATGATAAGGCACCGTGTATGCGAGCAAACAAAACCCAACATTTGCTTCAAGACAACAATGTGAAGTTTTGGGGCCATGACATCTGACTATGAAACTCACCTGATCTCAATGTAGCAGAACGTATTGGATCAATAGTTAAAGATGAAGTTGAGAAAAAAATGTTATCAGAGACTGGACATAATCGCTATCTTGAGGATGCACTCAAAGTGCATCTTACAAACGTTTTGGCCAATATCGAGAGAGACGCTGATTTATTTCAGGCATTTTTACGTTCGTGTCCATCACGTCTCCGTGCAGCGAACGAAGCTAACGGTCGTCACACTCATTATTGATTCTATTCATTAAATGTTGAAAAAATAAACTATTTTGGTACACATTTAGTTTGAATTTCACTTCGGAAATAACTTTCCTCTTACTTCATGTCAATGAAATATAATAAGTCCTGAAAGTTTAATATGCTAAGGTGTTCATAACCCTCACTATTTAGTATTAATAAACCCCATTTTTCACGGGCTTTCATTTGGTATAAAATTCATCATCTACTCCATTTAAAATGATGGTGTTATCCCCCTGGAATAATATTTTTTCAAACCGTGTATTATCACAAAGAATTCAGTCACACAACAAGGTCATTTTACGTAGGATTTTTCATTTAGTAAATGCCAGCAACTAGGAACTACAAATCATAATACCTTGTGAACTAGCTAAAAGGAATATTAATAAAGATTTATTAAATTCACATTCTAAGCCTAAGAAGACAACATTCGCAACCTTCTTTGCTTGAAAAGATTAAATAACTTTTTTCTTCTTTGTGTGAGATTCTTCATTTTATTCTAAACGATCTCGAAACAATGTTGGAAGGTGAAAATAAAACGATTGGACTTATTCTAACTTCAATAACTTTTATTCTTACAGCGTTTGCAACAATTATATCATTAATTATTATAGTAATTCTTATTTATCAATGGTATCGTAAACGTGTAAAACAAGATGATAAAATAACAATATATCTTTGTCTCCATATCTATTTGTGTATGTTAATACTGACAACTATTGGATTATCAATGAATATTCGAACATTTTTGGGTGATTTAAATGGGCAATTATTCGATTCATTAGGGTGTATATTTTCAGGATATGTTGTTTTGATTCACCTTGGTAAAATGTACATAGCATTCATAAATCAAGTGAGTACAAATGACAAAGGTCAAGAAATATTTTTTGTTTGAACATCATATTTCAGGCATTTTATCGTTTTGTTCGAATTGTTTATCCTCAATATGGATACTTTCTATCTTTAAAATTCTTTTTACTTCTTACTATGATAGAATATCTATGTATAAGTGGTATTGTTTGTGTTGTTATACCTTGGAATGGAGTTATTTATTTTATTTACGATCACTTTTGTTATGTTTCATTCACAAATTTACGAGCAATTATATGGATAGTACTTTCAGTTTATGCACTGCCATGTTTATGTACATTTATGATTTATATGCGAATAACAACGTTTCTTCGACATCAAAGAAACACTTTAACATTAGTGATGAGACAAAGACAAAAACGGGATTTTCTGATTGTCCGACGAATTCTAATGATAATTATTTTCTTACTTACTCTAGGACTCCCGGGAACATTCTTTATTATAAGATATTATGTCACAGGTGATTATCATCCTTTGTCACTTCGTGTTGGATGGATGTCAGTTGCAATATCAATGGCAGTTTTGAATGTTGTATTAATATTTTTCATACCTCAGTTGCAAAATATTGTTAGAAAAGTATTTCAAGAACATCGGATAGGAGTAAGTACTGTTGTTATTCAACCTGAAGAAATTCAAATTTAATCTGTTTTTTGGTATATGAAATGAATTTTCTACGATCTATGTGTTTCAGTGATGGAATCGGTTCGTGTTTTTACAATAACCGAACCGAACCGAACCGAACCGAGAGGATTTTCATTCAAACCGATCGAAGTGAACCGAGATATATATTATTCGCTTTTAAACCTTCGATTAGACGAACCTTGTCACAAGCAGACATACTTTTAAAACTTTTTGAGTGTTTCTTTGCAATTTTTTCGATCTTTTTCATAGCCAAATTTAAAAATAATTGAGTTTTGGGATTAAAAGTTCAAAACTAAGTTTATAATTTCCTGGACAGATTTTGAAAGGAACACAAAATTTGGCTATTAAAATTGTTTTAAATTCAGAGGACACATTAACAGTTCTTTCTAAAAGTTTGCAACCTTGACGACATTACAAGTCTTGGCGAACTTTTGATATGGAAAGAAATCATAAGATTATATGCGATAAGGAATTAAAACTAATCTGTTGAAAAACGACTCTTGTTGATTTCTCTACCGATTGTGATAAGTAAAATTCCCCTGATTTAACGCAAGTAACGAATTCGACCTCTAGCCAATTTGAATTTTTTTAAAATTTCCACTAGGGGAAATCTTTACAAAGAAGCAAATAGAAAATAACAACAATTTCGTATCTTAATTCTCAAATTTGTGTAAATAGAATACAACAATATTCTTAATTTTTCACTTTCATCTGACGGGTAATTTAATCACGAGACATTGCAATTAGACGAATATCACTGCTTCAGCTTCGTAAAGGACACCTTGTTGCTCTGACTATATATTTCTGCGTTCCTCCTGTTAATTAACATCAACCAAAATTGTATTCGGTTTACTATAAATAATTCAAACCGATCCCATCACTGATGTGTTGTTCATAAAATCTTTTCAAATACTGTATTTTGTGTTCTGGTTAAGTTTTGTATATCATTTATTGTAATTAAATCTTATTAAACCAAAACTAACTTAAAAAAATACGAATCACGTATTTTCCGTAAACTTGACTATCATATGAGCAATAACAGATAACTGTATATATGACTCATTACATTACATAATCGCATGTAAAATTTGATTGATTATTTTCTCATTATTGGATTTTATATGTTGGAAAAGGGCCCAAAATTTACCTTTGTTTTTTACTGATATTGTTCCCTCGGCCGCAAGAAGGGTCATACAAAAAAAAGTTTGTCTGTCTATCTGTGTTAGGGTCAAGGATCAAAGGTCAAAAAAACATTTTTTTTCGAAAATGCTCAAAACTTGATAAAACATCATTTGCGGGGATTAAGATGGTCGATGATGGTTGCGAGCTGTGTACAGAAGAGGTGCGGTCGAATTGGGTATAACACACTGATAAAGCTAGTGTTGTCATTTCTCCTCAATGGGAAGGAAGGTCATATGAACAAAATAGTCTGTATGTATGTGTGTTTTTATCAACGTCCAAGGGTTCAGATCAAAGATCACCTAATATAAATACGTATTGTTTCATCATCATCACATCGTGTCACATAACTATCCGGGTGTTGAGTGTCGCAAAATCGACCAATCAGAAACGGAAGATGATAATAGTTATGGTTTCCGTGTGTCCTAGGCATTTGTTCAATGCTAGGACACTATCCTGTAGTAGATTCTTCACTATAAATTCAGTACGATATTATTACATGCACAAGCTGCGTCTTGTCGTTTGGCTACTAACCATATATTACACAAGATGAACAAGACGCCATGGCGCCTATTCTAAGTAGGAAAGAATTACAGTTGACAAGAGGTGAAAATTCGTTGTTTCATAAGACGTCTTAGTGCCTCAATGAGTCGTTTGCAAGTGGCAACCGTTGGGAGCACACTCTTCCGTAGGCATGCACCAATCCCGATTCCAAACAATCCGATTCCGATTCTAGAATCGGAATCGAATGGGATTGGTTGGAATTGGAATCGGAATCGAATGGGATTGGTTGGAATTGGAATCGGAATCGAATGGAATCGGTCGGAATTGGAATTGGAATCGAATGGAATTGGTTGGAATTGGGATTAGAATCGAACGGAATTGGTTGGGATTGGGNGCTAAACGATAGAAGATTGATTTATACGGAAAAAGACGTTTTATCCATTCTTGAACCGAAGTCATTTGACAACAATCGATTTCAAACAAATACAACCAAACCAATTAAATTTGAATTCAACATAAGTAATAATAAAGCGCTCAAATATTATCAATCAACAAATTTCATGAAAATTCATTTTGATAACGGAATTTCTCAACTCCATTCGAGATCATATCGGTGACAAAAGACACGATCCGCATCATGGATGCGTCTTCTTCTCTGCGAACTCTGTAGATATTCTCAAATATGCATTTACAAAAATCGATATGAAATTTATGTTTCATTATTTTGATATTAATCGATATACAATCCAATATCACATTTAATCTGATTTTAATCATATTCATTTCATTGCATATATTTTTGAGAATTTGTTTAACAGATAGAAGAGTAACAACAAACAAATGATAAAGGAATTTCTGAATGGTTTGAAATGAATTTTTTTTAAATGAATGAAGGAACGAAAAATCAAACTAAATAAATGTCATTGAGATACAATCAGTTGACTATTTCGTAATGAAATCAGTGTACGTGATCCTGAAGAATATCAATCAAACGACAGATAGATATACGTCATTTGTACTTACCGTTGAACCAGCTGATTTTAACATTCTTACATTTGATTCTTAGGTTAACCATACTAGATGAAACTTGCTTTGCCTTATTATCGTACTTGATCATTCCAGAGAGTCATTCGAATAGCAACACCATTTTGTCCGACGTGAATTTCGCGTCGACTCCATGAATAATTATTAGAAAATCCCGTTGTTGTACCATAATCACGTAAAACTTGTACATTAACATCTAAATAAAACATGGACCATGTGAATATCGATGAATCAGATTGAGTCCTATTCATCAATGAACAAAGAAAGAAAGCAGCGAAAGATTTCTTAACAACGATTGAATGCAATGGTAAATTTTCGATTTCTTGCAATGTGACAAAATTAGCAACTGGTTCATATGTGAAATTCGAGACAACTTCATGAGCAGATGTGCGAGAAGTTGCGAGAAGTTGAACATCATTGGACAAGGTTTTATACACACGATCAACTGTTTTTATCGACAGATGAGACATCTCGTAACACTACATTGAATCAGAAAGTTGTTTTTTCTTGGTCCAACCATGCATTACCTTTCCAATAATCAACGTATTGGTCATCATGTTTGACTGAATGTTAAACGCTACTAAGTTCATCGAACCAGTATCATCAACAAGATCCCACGTTGTTACTTCACCAACGCCTGTTGCATTAGTGAAAGTCTTTTTCGGATGTTTGAAATGAACGATAGCTCGTAGTTTCCAACTGAAACCGAAATAAATTAAATCAAAATTCATTAAGCCAAGAAAGGAATCAATTCATTTAATAGCAAACATCTGGATTTTGTTATTGCAAATCTGATCAAAACAAAAATTCAGCAAAATACAAAAACAGATATTCCAAAAAATAGATGTACCACGTACGGAAAGTCAACATTGACGTTTATCTCATTTATCTTTAATAAACGAGAGTCGTTTTCCAAGAAAAACAAACATTTCAAAAGTTCAAATCATTTCAACCAATATCTTTATCCACCATTCTCATAAAAGATATTTTTACATCGGATTACAGTCGATATAAAGTCAGTTCTATCTGTGCGTTATACCTAGACATTCACTCAAGTATGTCACGTCAGTTGCAGATGAAGTGCAGTAAATCTCAGTCGGCTTTAACAGATTCAAATTCTGTTTCGACTCGTGAAATAAAATCTTTTTTTTTCAAAACATTCACAACACTTGCAGAAGCTCGTTGATTACTTACCCTGATTTTCGAGTTGATTATTTACAGAAGCAACTGCATCATTTTCACCAGCATCGTTATTTTCTGCGACAACAACAACATCTCGTTCACCACCGTTGCCAATACCTTCAACAGTACGACTATTTCATTCGCCATAAATCATTTCTTTCATCTTTCTTACCTGAAGATTCTTCGCTTACATCGATTGTTTCAATACGTTTAGTATTAGTATTTCTATGATCTTCATATTCTACACTATGATCGGAATTCGAGCCACCTTGTTTATCGTTTATCATTTCATCATCAGATTCACTTGATGATGAATCATTATCGCTAGAAGAGTAAATATGTATGAAATTATCCAAATATTCGCATAGAAAAATCTTACGATTCATTGGTTGTATTGTTTGACATGACGATCAAAGATTTTGATTCTTTTATCTGAAACGAAAAGACTGACTAGTCTAAGGTATTACATTGGATTCAAATTGGCATGAAAAGCGGAAAAAATAAAGAAAAATTCATTGATTAGAATTAATTGTCGACGATGCTTCATTTAAATGATCGGTAGTTTTTTTCGTTTTCGTGAACAGAATTGCCTTTGGGCCTGTTGTGTTATTCGTTTCTTCGACTNATTCATGCTTCGCTTTGTATGCAAAAGGAACTCATTTATTTATATTCTTTTTTTTTTATCGATAAAACTCTTTTGCTTAATATTTCTTCAAATACAAATTAACAACAATCAATAGGTGATCCTTTTGAGTTTGTTTGATCAATTTCTTTGAATTAAAATAAATCATCGTTTTTTTAACACATGACAACATATGAAATTCCATTTCAACTGACTCATTTTCGTTGAAATTACGTAGGTTAAAGGCTGTCTGTTTCATTACGGGCAAGCACTTTTTCGGAAGTTTACAAATTTGGAATTACGTACAGCTTTTCAAAACGATGATCGATTGAGGGTTTGGTTTCGAAGTTTTGCAGCAATTGCTTTGCTTCCAGAAAATGAATTCGACGATGCTGTGCAAGCATTATCATCAAACACTCCTGATACCTATGAAAATGAAATCCATTCGTTTTTACAATATCATGAATCGACATACGGTAAAAATTCCAATTTTCCACCGTCTATGTATAATCACTATAGAAACCTCAATCCGAGAACAATCAATCATCTTGAAGGGCAACACAATAGATGGAAGAAAAGATCGCTAAAACCGCATGACGATATTTACAGATGTATTGATATGATAAAAAATGAGCAAGTAGTCGCTAATGATCAACGTGAAAGGTGTGATGCAGGTGAAGCTCCACCGAAACGAAAAAAAAAATCGTATTGCTGAAGAAGCATTAGTTCGTTTATGGGAACGATACGACAAGAACAAAGTCGATAGAGATACATTTTTAAAAGGAGCTGGTTTACGATATTTTCAATATTTGAAAATCGAATAAACTTGAACGAATAAGTAAAACAAATACTTCTCGATAAACATGTATCTAATCGCATACATGTACGTAAAACATTAAGGAACAAAACGATTGTATAGGCAACACAGAGCAGAGAGAGGCAAAAGTCGCAAAATTATTTAGACGTTTCATTTTCCCTGTCTTTTTGAGGACAAAGAAAGAAGAAGATGAAAAAGAATTCTCTATCGTAAGATGTTTTCGATAAAACAAATCATGAGATCCATACGCAGTACGACTGGTATTTGGATCTTTAACTCACAAATTACGCACAATCTTTTCTTGGAAACAATATTATTGAATTCGTATTTGATATTCATACCAAACGGTGATCTTGTCTGCGTCAACGTCAATATTCTTGTCAATATTTTTGGGAAGAACTAATGCATGAGTGCGAGGTTAATCAAGGTAGCGTGACAATCCTGAGGAGAATGAACTACCGAAGTTAAAAAGAAGAAAAAAAGTATCAAATTCATTTGTTTTGATAATTGATAATTAATTTCAAAATTTCAGCGCAAAAGAACGATTTTGCGCATTTTGAAATTGTTTACGGCAGTAAATCCTGCGGCAGTAAATCCAGGATTCGTCACAAACAGCTTCACTTCTGATTTTGACAACCATCAGCGAATATAAATGTAGAAACTGTTCAATGCCGTTAGCCAGATCTCTGTTCGTAAAGAAAGATTTCATCACTTTTGTCGTTGCAATTCTATCGTCTTTTGTCCAAACATTCCAATTTTCTTTATCGTTCAATTCTGTTAAACATCGTTTCTTCCACTCCAGATATTGATCATTGAGTAAAATATTGTCGATCTTGATATGTTTTGAATTGTTCTTCGTAAACTCAAGTAGAGTTTGAAACGATGACTGCCCATACTGAAGCACATCCTCCCTTTTGACTAAAACAACTTGTTGATACAGTGCTGCAACGTCAAGACAGTTTGCCATTGTTTCGAATATAGCAGGAGCTTCTTTGAATCGAGTATCGATTGAAGTACACAATGCCTGGCAAAAATCAACTAATTTCTCTCTCAAGTAGAATGTGGGATCATCCAAATCGTGTTCAGCAGCTTTGCGCGTAACTGGTCTTCCTTGGAATTCTCCACGAAGTAGATCATTGTAGTTCAAGGATAAATATGTTGATGTTAGTGTCACTTCGTCGAGTTCTTCATTTTCCCTTTGTAGAAAGTCTTCTTCTTCTTCTTTTTCTTCGTCATCATCTAAAGAGGCTTTTTGGGCGACAAAGGGAATCCCATCCACATCTGCTTAACAACAAGAAAAATATTAAAAGAAAAGCGAGAGGTTCGAAAATGAATTACCTTCCATTTCCTGTGTACTGTTCAGTGTTGGATAATTTCTCTACTTCTGCTGCGTATGTAGATAGAGATTTCTTCAATTTTTCTAATGTATATGAATACTCCCACGGAAAAGTGTTAACCATTTGAATGGACATAGAGGATTTAACAATTAAAGAGTAAATATCGTTAAGACCCAGAAGTTTTCCAACGAAATCGATCGAGGAAATATCATCAAGCTGAAAAAAGAATATTCATAAGTATTGAATTAAAATCTTTGCTTTGAAACTCACTTTAAAAGTAGTTTCATCACCCACTCCTTGATGTGAAACAGTATGCGCACGTCTGGTTCTTGTGCTAACATCACCATGCGATAAGGCATTCAGCTGATCTTCTTTTTCCTGCACTTCATGCAGAGATCTCCAGTCTCGCAAGACTGTTTCATATACCCGTCTTTCGGAACTAACGAAACGTGTCGCGTGGAATTGTTTTGGAGCTAATATATCTTCGCCAAGATATTGCGCAGTTTCGAGCAGTATTTCATACTGCTTACCATATGAATATTTTCTCATCAATGCTGCACACAGCTTGATGAAGTTTTTTATCCAAACAAACTTCCGTTGGCGTTTGACATCATTAATAGCAAGCTCCAACAAGTGTGCGCAGTCCCATGATACAGTCAACCACTCCGAATTCATTTCGAGGGCAGATGATAAATGTTTGTCAATGTTAAGGTGTATGTATGCGCCATCAACAGCACAACCAGAGAGCTGCTGTTGCAATATCTTTTTAGTTAAACCAAAGGAGTTCATCGCATAAATACAACTGTAATCGGAAACAACAGATACGAAAAAGAAAATGAGATATTGAGATAGTTCCACTGAACTCACTTATCGGCTAGTTCTTTACCACTTAGTTCTGTTTTGCAAAGTGGTGATTGTAAATATATTGGCGTTAAGACACCACCAACGAATGTGATAAGTAGCGTTGTCTGAATAGATCGTTTCAAAAGGGTTACTTTGTCGAAAGTAACACCGAATGGAACAGAATGTTGAAGAATTGGATCCACACGAACCAAGTATTCTGTGATCTTTAGTTTCATTTCCTCTGCCATAACACTTCGTACTCTATCATAGATATATCGACTATGTCTAAATAATATGACAAACGTGAAGGGTATAGAGACGCAAATTCATAGAAGAGGCTTTACCTGCAATTCCCAATAGTACCGCCACATAAATCAATTAAGTTAATAGTTTCGACAAACTTCAAACCACCTAATCCAGTACGAATGCAGAATAATGCGATTCTTCCGATGTTGTATCCAGCTTTCTCATTCTTTCTCATAAGATCATCGGCCTCCTCTTTTTCCTTCTGCTCTTCTCTCGCACACCAGATATGCAAGTTATTCGAGAGATGAAATCTTATACTTTTCTTCAAGTCACGAAATTTTTGAGTTTGGTTGTACCCTGCATCTTGCTCAATAAATTTGAATACACCGAACGAAGATTTTATTGTTGACTGAAGTTGCTTTGGTGCATGCGTTTTGTGTTTCGAACAAGATAAACAGGTCATAAGTTCTATCTGCGAGTTGATTTCAAAATTTTTCATTTTGTACAGATCGTCTGAACTTTTGATTTCATTGAACATCACGTCGAACTCTTCTCCTTCGTTAGCTTCTTTAGTAGTTGAAATCGAACTTTTTGTGCCAAGTAAACTGTCAAACTTAGTGCTCAAGTTCGAAAGTTGTTCGCTCATATAAAAGAGCTGTTGTTGAAATTGGTGCTCGTTCGACGGTGAAAAGGGGGAAGGTGCGTTGGGTGTTGTCACAGGTGAAGCAAATGAAGAAATAGTTGTTACAGGTGAAGTAAATGAAGAAGTTGTTGTTACAGGTGAGGTGAGTGAAGAAGTTGCTGTCGCCTGTGTTTGATCGAAAGTAGGTGAATCCTCGTTTGCGTTGTTGAGGTTCGTTCGCTTCTCGATCTGATCTGTAGCAAGTGGTACTGACTTTTGCCTCCAGAAAGTAGATAGAGCATTTGGAGCAATTCCTACTTGAACTTTTGAACCAGGATGATGTGCATTGGAATGAGAAGCCAGCTTATCTCTTCGACCAGTCCATTCGCAGTAAAAACAACTAACGGTTTCTTTACTAGGAAACATCTCAATTAATCTGAAAACTGGCAATCGTTGGAAGAATAAACATAAGAATGAGAGTAACTAGAAATAAGAGTATTAACTGTCCATCACGTGCGAAAAACATTTAAAAAATGTTTGTCTTTTCTCGTTCTTATCACTTTTGTGCGTAAACTGGAACTTGGTTTTATCCAATGAATTTAATGATACAGAAGAGGAGAAAATCACAGACACAAAGACAGAAAGAGAAACGAGTAGTAACTAGAATAACGAAGTTATGTATGTGTGCGTGCATATTTAGATGGACGTACATATGAGAACGGGAGAAACCAAAGAATCAAATGTGCATATTTTTCGCAAAATGAAGAACAGAGTACACAAGTAAAGCAAAAGATTCGAAAGAATGATTTATTTCATATAATTAATTATGAAAAGAAAAACATTTTCTCTTCTAATAATTTTTCCAAAATTTCCCCAATGAGAATATTCAAAATGTCTTCCACTATGACAGTTTTCAAAAATTTCCCCAGCATAATAAATTTCAAAAATTTCCCCCAATATAACAACTTTTCAAAAATTTCCCCCCTCGCGCGGGGGCGCATGAGGAAGATTCTGCACCTCTGGTGAGGGTGGGTGAATCCGAAGAATATATGGTATGAAATGATGTGAAAGTGAGAAAGAGGCCGATGAATGAATATCAGACAAAGAGGAAGTTTTCGTAATTTCTGAGGGAGAAATTAGCTTCGGTAACTCTTTTGCATAAAAAGGTATAGCTAAAACTGCCATTTTGTGTGATGCACGGCGGGAAAATAAGGACTGGAAGCGTAGAAATTTGAATGATACTGATCTTCTATCTGTTATAGCTCTTCAACACGTAAGATGTTCGACATAGATATTTCTTATTTGCAACGGGTACTCCCTCTATTAGTTTTATACAGTTGATTGTGCCGAGCAAAACCTGGTATCGGACAAGTGACAATAGTTTTCTGTACATTCAGAACAATGTGACAGAATCACCTTGCTCCGTGGACAGGGTGACTATCAAAATTAGCTACAAAATATTTATGTATTCCAGAACTTCTGCTGATGTTGAGTGCATCTTTTCACAAAGTAGCTTTCTTTTAAGACCACATCGTGCTCGAATGTCGTGTCAAACACTTCACCAATTAACTTTATTAAAATGCAACAGTGGAATTTAACTGATGCTATGTTATGTTTTCTTTGGTTGCTTTGTCTTCTTGCTTATAATTGTATTGAAACTTGCTTCTTTCGATATAGAAAGGAAGCACGATATATTAATCTGCTCATAAATACGTAAATAAAACTTGATGGAATTTCATGGAACGGCACAGACGCTTCTCCCGTTTTAACGGCGGTCTGGGTTGCTCCAATGCCCAACCAGAAATAACGTAACTTGATTTGAAAACTGGTTTGGTTTATTTCATACAGAAAAATGACTTGACTTGATTCTTAACTTGGGCTTGGAGACTTTTAGATATGACTTGACTTGCCCATGTCTGATTTATATGCCTAACCTAATCGTTTCTTTCAATAGCAACCAAGAACAAATCACTTGATCTACCATTTAGCACTATTATATGCGATAGTTTGGCATAACTCATGATCTGAGTGCGCTCTCTGTATCCGCTGCTAATGCAAACGACACTTACAGGTAAAGTATCCTTTGTAGCCTGGTTGTGTCTGAATATACCAGATCTTAGCTATGCCACTACTTTATTTCGAGAGCCAATATCAACTGGTAATCTAAAATACTTCCGTATGCGTTCGAATGACAATCTCCGACTAGATACTCTGTAGATGGCTGAGCGATTTTCCATTTAAATAGTTTTGAACAATGAACACCATGTTGAAATATTTTTAAAAAACAACTAATCAGTATTTTAGAGAGAACACTAGTCTGAATTAATCGAAGGAAAAGCACTGAGATGTAGTTTAAAGCGGTAACTGCGTTAAAATATGGCGAAATCATTAAAGCTACTACGACGCACTTAAGGGATTTTCTATAAACGTATCTAGTCGTGTTCCGATCTTTGAGTCAAGCTGAGTGTTTAAAGGGAGTAATTTTAGCAAATGGATGTAAATCCAGCTAAGAAGTCTTCTGGGAGTGTCTGGATACATTTTTTGTTCGTACAATAGCCAAATTTGTCAATGCTATAAGGGTGAAAGGAGAAGGAGAGAAAGAGAATAGAGCCACGTGAGGTGGGCGGATCTAGAATGAAACTTTTAAAATTTATATGAAACAAGTTAGGCTCGGATCTCAAGAAATATTTAGCGGCCCTTGTGAATTAAAACGTACCTAAAGAGACGTGGTTTTCTGGCAGGTTGCAGAATTATTCCGGAGCGAATGAAAAACCTCGGAAATTATTGAACATGTGCCGTCTTTAATGTGATCAAGCGGAATATGTATAATGATTGTTTAGCTTTTTTAACCTATGAACAATAACTAATATCCACCATGAATATTCGATGGGTTACGTAGAATAAACTATAAGAGTCCAGTTAATCGATGAATAAAAGCCTTGCTTGGTTGCCGATGGTGGAACGGAGAGCCTTTCAAAAAATGTAGCAGTATGGGCAAAACGAGTGGGCGAGCGTTATGGGTTGCATTCACCGGCGCATCCGAAAGTCGTCGTCCCGTACGCTTTTGATATGCATTGCCGCTGACCTTAACAACTGATATTACAAAGGAATATTACACCTGTAGTTGCAATGTAATAAATACGAATCATCCAAACGTAAAACTATCTACTAGGGACTTTGCTGCACTGGATTGTATCTCTATAATTTGAAAAATGTCCCGTTTGATTTTCCGTCACATAGAGCTTAACTTTCACAGAGCTTTGTTAACCGAAATACAATAGAAATATAAGATATGCGTTATAGCATATGTAGACGTCATGAACTTCCTTCACTCAAGTGTTATGTTCTTACATAGATCGCACGTTCACGACATATTTTATTCTTAGCCCAGATACATTGATTATTTGATATGAAAAATAGCTTTCACTACTCTACTATATTTTAGGGGAAATAAAAGTTGTTTTTGTGAATTGTTCACTCTGGAAAAGCTATCGTTTCTTGAAGGCGTCGAACATAGTGTTTTAGCCTGGCTCACAACTTTCGAGTATGCAAGTGGCTGCAGCCAATATCTTCACTCAAATTTGACGTATTCTAGAAGCTAATATAGCAAAGAAGCACGAATACATTAACGTACAATGTCGATCAGAGTTACAACACAACTATGACTTACCCGTGGATATACAGCAATAACGATTTATTAGAGAATACAGGATGTTGTTGAGTGACGAAGCCAATCGTCAGTGCGCTATGATTGTTGTATTTCTAATTACGATATACAACCTGAATGTATTAGCAGGAAACAAATAGCACATCCAGAATCTTCTAAAACGTTGAGTCTATTGAATAGCAGTTTACCACAAGTCGCCGGTATAAACACTTACATTTATAGACATACATATATCGTTAGTTATCTACGCACAGATAGTCAGTAATTCTAGTATTATAGAAAGATTTGTCGCTCACAGTCTTCCCAGATTCTCACAATCTAAACCTACCTTCAACATAGTACACCTACCTGCGCGATTCTCAACACCCTTCTACTTTTCATATTCTTCCTCACTTACACCTACGTCCTCAAAACAAATAAAAACTATAGAATATATAACCTGCAGAGGGATGATGAAGTATCTGAATCCGAATTGNCTCAAAACAGATAAAAACTATAAAATATATAACCTGCAGAGCGAGGATGAAGTATTTGAATCCGAATTGCAACGCGTATGTTCAAGAATGGCTTTAATCCAATATTTAAACTCAAACTGTACAAGTGTTAGGAGACGAAAAGCGAAACGGTTAGAGTTTACTCACGTGCAATTGCAACCAAAGATCTAATAACCATGGAGACTTAGCTGTGGACTGTGACTCGGCAAATGGATCCTTCACTATATAATACATACCGGTTAATCGATGAATCTCAAGCATTACTGAAAGACGAAATCCATTTCAGGTACATCATTATTGTTGCATTTCTAGTCGTGATATCTCACCTAAATCTATTCTCAAAATCACTACTCACTCATAGCCTCTTCCTGAAGTGTGAGTCTACTGGATAGTTCACGACACTGCTATTCGTTAGTCCTAACACTTCTGTTTACTGGCATACACAAATGGCTGAACTTCTACTCTTATCGAGAACTTTGGTCTTCCCACCAGCGGCCTCCCACGCGTATACCTGACCATCCTATGGGATCTAAATACCCCAATTTGTTTTCAACTTATCACATCTAGTCGCACACTTTTCAACGCTTTTCAGCTCTCGCTCTTCTTTCTCGCCCTCACATCCACCCTCACACCTCCTTTAATCTTTATTATTCACAATCAAACACACATACATAAAACTAAAAATATGTTTCAAGCGTTAATGCCAGTGTCTGATTTTTGTATTGGCATTTCGACGGCCAACACAATGATTGCAACAACCTTCGCCTCACATGGCGCACCTGCTTACGGCTTTACCAAAAGAGATGACTCCCGTAACGAAAGGCTTGGACTTCATTCCCAATGCCATAATAAGAGTGGGAGGCGTTACTGCATATAATGCAGTTTCATCCAACAATATAGAAATACATAGATTGTTCATAGTTGGAATATGTGTATCCATAGTAGATGCCTAGTTAGCGGGAAAGCCCGTTATTTCATTTGTTGCTATTTCTGTCGCAAATGTATCCGCATTCACGATTTCATGGTCGTTTCATTGACTTGTCTTGTAAACATGTTCCAGGAAAAAGACGCGCGCGAGAGAGAAATGGTGTGAAAAGAAGAACTGCTGTTCCGGTTCAAGTCGTGCTTACTCACAGCATTACCCCAATTTCGGTTTCCCGAAATTGTACGCGAAACAGCAGGGGGAGAGAGATAGGAAGAGAGGATAGGAGAAAGAAAAACTGTTGTTCCGGTTCAAGTCGTGCTTACTCACAGCATTACCCCAATTTCGGTTTCCCGAAATTGTACGCGAAACAACAGGGAAAGATTGTACGTACCTGTGAATAAGACAGTCTTTTGTATAGGTGATTGAGATTGAATGGATGCATTTGGGAGGTTCAACGAAAATGGCGTTTGTAAAAATGATTATAAATCCATTGAGCTACANAGGTAGTGATTGAACAGTTCTACGAGATACGACACGCATTATGTACGTCGTGTAGTATTAAAATGACTGTTTTTTTAATACTGGATCATGTTTATTAGACTGACTACTGCCTGCCTCCATATTTGTAACAATGTATTTACTACATACGAGAAGAGAAGAAGAGTCTTGGCAATGGGAGGGAGGCGCTTTCATATGTAGTTGAATCAAATACTGTGGTGCAATTATCGTCTCTGAAGTTTACACTCTTCCCAAAGCAGATTTAGCATCGTTGTTGGTATTTAATGTTGGCGAAATGTTTCAGCCTTGTTGATATTAACCGACTCTTGAAGAGCTAATTGACAGATAATATAGGTTCCATTTGCACTGTCAACTTTCTTCTTTAGATCAATATAAAACGATGTTGATGTTTAGTATTTTTCGCCAAGGACAAATTTTGTATCTATCGTATTACTTTTTCTTCGTGTGTGTGTGTGTGTTAAAATCGAATGCAGCCTTCGTATTGCCCACCTTGGTTGATTCTCCTTCGAATACGTATAGAGAAAAAAATACAGGTATGTACATATAGATATATCTTTGACGTCAATAGGCGATGATTGGAAAGGACACAGATCAATGATTACCTGTTTCTCACCATCTATTAACTTTTCTATATGATAAAATATTTGGTGAAAAATGCTCCAAATGGTGAAAAAAGAGTGGAGAAACGAAAGAACTGTTAACCCTTTACGACTGCATGTTGCCAAAAGGCAACAATTTTGCGGTAGGGGATGTGACATTTTCCAAAAATTTGGGGCTGCAAAATTGATCCTCATAACTAAACTAACAAGAATAATTATAAAGAAAATCTTTTGCTTGCTGTTTTCTGGTAGGCGACCGGAAAGGATTGAATGATGACTTAGTTTTATGGCCTTTTCATCCACAAAATAAAACTAGATAGGCTGTCAGGCTTCGCCCGACCGCGAAATACGGTGCGCTGAGTTTCGCTGGTGTTTGTATACTTTTCAAATGACTGAATGGGCTAGTTCCATATCCACTCAGCTTAAGCGCAAAGCCTCTATGGTCATATAATTGTGAATGAATGATGTCGCCGTGTTATTGAATTATGTTTGGCCTATTAAAATTGGAAAGCGGTTACGTTTTCGCGTCTCTTCTCTTTCAAACGTCTTATAAAAGTCTCTGTCGTTCAGTAGTCGTTAAAATTTCAGTTTCTTTTTTCTCTTGCATCGAATTCGTCGAAGTAGGTAACTTACATAATGTGCACAAAAAGATTTAAGACATGGTCTGATTATTTAACTAATGTTTCACCTGTGAAATAAGAACAAAAACGACATAATTGGACTGAGGCTCAATTACAAACAGGTGGTGGAAATGAAGAAAAGGTTTTGTTTTTCTTTGAAAAACCTAAAACTCCAAGTGCGCTCTATGAAAGTGCGTTATCTGCATTAAGCAAGAAAACGACTGTAGCCGTTTCAGGTCTGTGTGAGGACAAAGAGGGTAAGTTGCTTTATTGAATGAATGCTTTTGCTCGTTAATATGTTCAACATAAATGATTACGCCTAACTTTTTTTTCTTGTCGATAGGCACGTTTTTGACATGTCGAACGAGCGAGATTAAAGCTCGTCAGGTTACTTTTGAGCCACGTCATACTACAGCTGAGCCAGTGAATATCGGGTCTGCTATTTCTGACGGAGGTTCATATGATGATACAATGCTGATTTTGGGTCGCGTGGTTAAGTTGAATCCTATGGTATCTATCATGAAGTACGATAATTCTACTCAACAACGTGTGCAAAAGGTTTATTGGAGTGCTGTCGTTGCTGATACATCTGCTGCAGTCATGATCGTAGTATGGGAAGATATTGCTTATGCAGTAAGATGTCAGTTATGAATGATAAACGATCATGAATGTTTTTCTCGTATACATAGGGGCATCTATTAGTTTTCGTAGCTGCTTCCTAATTTTTCCCCCCAACCGATTTCGGCCATGATTTTAATATGGTCTCGTACCGACATCTGTTGTGCATCAAGCCACCAATACGAAGATTCCATAGTGCTCGTTAGAGAAAATACCCAGACAATATCCCAGGACTCCTGTTTTCGCGATGGAAAAGGAGCACCGGCGTGCATATACCAATACTCGATTTCTGCTGGGCTTTGCAGCTACGGAAATTCACCGCGAAGTAACCACTGTTTACGAACGTGATAATGTATCATTCAACACTGATGCACTTTGGGTTCGTCGCTTCTCAAACGGGCGAGACTCGGTCGAAGATGATCTACGAGGCGGTCGACCCGTATCCGTCGTCACCACAAAGAACATTCGCGCTGTCGAACAGCTGGTGAACGAAGATCCACATTTTGTAGTATTCTCTCGCATAAACCATTAGAAAAATGCCATCGACACAAATTCATTCATAGTTGTTACAGGCACGTACATATACATGCCTTCACATCGTCCTCTCCATCTGTTTCTTTTATCTTCGATACACATTCTCTTTCACGTCGTTTCGAATAAACAGATTGAGTTTCGTCTCTCGAGCGAAGACAACGCTAATATTGGTGCCGTGACCCGTTTCTTCCACCACACAATTACTTGTCGTTGATCGTTTTTCTTTCTCGCCTCGTGCTAATTATTCTAGTATCATGTTTCATCAATTTACGTCCCGATATGTTGATTCATCGAATTCCTCTTGTTTTGATTGTATTTATATGCATCAATACCGAGTTACATTATGCTCGCATACAATTTGTATCAACTGCTTACACGCTGCAATTGAGAGACGAATGCAAGGACGACACGAAGCATTTATTTGCCCTAGATGTCCTGATTCTGAGCGGCACGAAAACTATCCTGCAATGATGAAAACAACCAATCGTCTTTATCAACCACAAGTTCTACAGGCTAGTCGAAAACATCTTGCACGTTTTTCATTATTTTCACATTATGACTGTCGAACTATTATATCTCGGATCAGCGAATCTATTTGGAATATTACCGATCTCAATGAACGACAACGAGTAAAACAGGTTTTACGAAAAAACTGGTTTCTTTTCACCGAACCCGTAGAAATAACAAAAGTTGAAAAACTACTTCATCGACAACGAAGCCAATATGAGTATCGACTTCGCCAAGAACGCATTCATCTCGAATCATTTCATTTCGAACAGACTGATTTGGTTGACACGCATTCAGTACACACTTTCATGCCCGACGAATCAACTACATCTAACTTAGCATGGTCTGATGGTACTGAGTCATGGCATATTCACGAGATCACACCTCAACGTGAATCGTTTGCTCGAACATCTTGTGTAGAAGTTATGAATTCATCATCACAAGAAGCAAATTTATCATTAAGTCGTTCTGAACCACAATTCGAATCTCATATCAATGATCTATCATTCCGGCACGCTCCCGAAACCGCATCACAACGCCTGTTGTTTGTACACGCATCTTGCTCGGCAAAGCTGAGCAATGAACTAACTACCGTTTATTTTATCGAACACCAACAACCGCATTGCAGTATCCAACCAGAACCACACGTTAGTCGACAAGATTTCATAATGTATGGTTATCAGCATCTGTTATTTCTCTTGAAGAGCACATGGGCTCCTCTCTTATGGTTAATTTGGCTCTTTGACACACCGAAAGAATGCTTTGGAAACTTCTCGATACTGAATTTAACCAAGTCTAAAACCTACAGTTATGTGTCTATTTGGTCCTTTCACGTTAATACATTCTTAATTCATTACTCAACGTTCATGATTAATTTCAATCCATTCGTTAAAACGATCGTTACTCTTCGCACTCTTGAATCGTTATTACTTTACGCTACTACATGCTGATGCCACATCATATTCACACTCTTGGGCATTGGACACTCGATTTCTCGCTGGTAATTCTTGTCTTCATATGGTTCGGATTATAAAATTATCCATTCGTTTGATCGTCGCTACTACACATACTTAGGTCATACCAGAAGTAGTGGCGCCGACTCTGTCAGTTCTTATAGAAGAGTTTCGGAATTTTTCTTCATATATATTCCAATAGCCCAAGTTGCACTCTATCATTTTATGATATTTCATAAGTCTTCAAATGGTACTATNAATGTTGGCGAAATGTTTCAGCCTTGTTGATATTAACCGACTCTTGAAGAGCTAATTGACAGATAATATAGGTTCCATTTGCACTGTCAACTTTCTTCTTTAGATCAATATAAAACGATGTTGATGTTTAGTATTTTTCGCCAAGGACAAATTTTGTATCTATCGTATTACTTTTTCTTCGTGTGTGTGTGTGTGTGTGTGTTAAAATCGAATGCAGTCTTCGTATTGCTCACCTTGGTTGATTCTCCTTCGAATACGTATAGAGAAAAAAATACAGGTATGTACATATAGATATATCTTTGATGTCAATACGCGATGATTAGAAAGGACACAGATCAATGATTACCTGTTTCTCGCCATCTATTAACTTTTCTATATGATAAAATATTTGGTGAAAAATGCTCCAAATGGTGAAAAAGAAGTGGAGAAACGAAAGAGCTGCAAAATGACGACTTAGTTTTATGGCCTTGTCATCTACAATATAAAATAATATCTGCTAGTTACAAGTCTATATGCTGATCTCATTTCAGAGCTATGTATTTTGAGTCAATACGGTGAAAAGTAACGAATGAAGAAAGACATCTGTTATCACATAGATGGTTCTTTCTGTGTGATCAAAAGAACGTCGATACGGCCACATGAAATAACATCCCGCTTGTCAAGTTTTGAAAATAAAATTTTTATAGTGAAGATTACTTGAATGCGCTTCTAAATATACTTTTTCACGTTGATGGTAAATCTGTCTTCGGTTTCGTAGAAGAAGCACATTTCGAACTTTCTAAGCGAGAAAATCTCTCAAAAAGCACAACTTTTCTATCTAAAAGTTTTGTTTTGAGTGGGCTGATATAGTAGGTTCTAGACACGTGAGTTTACGATCGTTTTTCACGAGCACGCCGCGCATTAGGCAGAAGTTGGACCAGTACAAGTACATCAAGTACCAGTACATTCACTTTTTACTGGGCGTGTATACTTGATACTTGAATTTAAGTACAATATACTCAGTCTTTTCGTATTTTAGTACTAGTAATAATTACATGTGTACTCAGTACTTTGTACTTAAGTATTTTAATTTTAGAAAAACGTGCATTAAGCTTTATATGATGTTTCTGCAAGAAAATTTTTAGTTCTCGATTGTAAGGACATCTGTAAAGCAAAACAATTAACGCAGTGAAGGTCGTAAAACGAGATGAACGAAAGCGTATTGGATAAAATAAATATATAGTTTGTGTACACTGCATGATATCGAATCATATCACCAGCTTTCCATCCTCAAATAGCCAGCAAGTTACTAAACGTTTAAAAACAAGTCGTGTTATATTATTGATCATTATTCATGGCTGGTGAGCGCTGGAAAAATTATTTCGAAATAAGAAACGTCGGCAAGAGTAGAGTTAATGGATTTTGTAAATCATGCAAGAAAAACTACAAGGAAAAATATGGAGTATCAAGTAATTTTTTAAAACAGCTTAAACGAAAACATACCTTCGAATATCGACAAATGTTTCCTAATCAAGATGAAACAGTGTCTGATGATTTATCAAATGAAAATGATGATTCGATTTCAACGGGTACATTATCTATGAAATCCAACAAGATCGTATCAATGTAGCCATTGGTAAATATTTAATTATTAAATGCAACCTGCCGTTGAGCCTGGTGGAAAATCAAGGCTTTAGTGATTTTATGAAAGAATGTAATTTAAAATGGGATCCCATATCAACAAAACGATTAAAACAAAATGTTATTCATACATTGTCGTCCAAGGTTGATACAATCATTCATCAAACATTGAATGGTGTTGATCATGTAACATTAACCGTGGATGGTTGGTTCGACAGGAGGTGTCGATCACTTTTGGGGGTGACATGCCATTTTACGTATTGACAACAAACTGCAACCACGATCACATTTTATCGATTGTGTTCGATTTAGATCACCACACACGGGTCAAAACATTCAGTAATTGACTGAATGTATTCGCGATCGATTTAATATAAAAGAAAAAAATTTATCGTATTGTCACAGACAAGGCATCGACAATGATAAAAGCATATAAATTTGGTTTGTCCGTTGAAGATGATGCTGATGATTCAGATGAACTATCAATTAACACATACACATTTTTACAAGTTGCTGATGGTGAGTAAATTGTGAACATTTAAAAAACAACCATTGTTGCTTTTCGTATCAAATAATGCATGAAGTATTCATTAAATTTTTGTTTTCCTTATGGAAAATAATGATTCAACCAGTTTCAGAATGATTGATATTCCACACGATACACAAAGTTTTGGTGATGATGATCAAAATGATTTAGCATTGCGTTCCCAGGTTGTTATTGCTTGGTTGGTTCCGGCCGGTTAAGTTTGTTTTCCGACGACTTCCTTGCCGCCGGAAGTTCAAACGTAGGTTCCAGTAATTTTCTAACTGTTTCCTGCAAACTTCGAGTCGGAAACGATTACAAACTGATCGGATATTTCCCGCATAATTCCTGCCGGAATCCGGCGGCAAGGAATTTGGCGGAACCTGCTGGAGTCGGCGAAAAGTGTGCCGGAATCGAGAAAAGCTGTACCGGAACCGACTCAGATTTCAACAGATCCAATCGCCGGAATGATCGATCTGGGTTTATCATGCTTTGCACACACTTTACAGTTATCTGTAAAAGATGGACTACAAAAGGCTTCTCATGTGCCCAAGGTACTTGCTAAATGTCAAGCATTGGCTAAATTTTCACACAAATCAACAAAAATTGCTGACACGCTTGATCAATTGAACAAACACATGAATAAATCAAACGTTACCAGATGGAATAGCGAATATTTATTGATTAAATCGATTTTATCTCTTGGTAAAAACGATGCTGATAGCATAACACCATTAATGGACAGCCCAGTGAAGTTTTCAAATAATGATTTTATTGTATTAGAAGAAATAGTTATCGTCCTCGATCCGTTTTATGAGATACCAATAAAATGCCAAGCAGAAGCTGCCGTTGCTGCAAGTTTAGTTGTACCTTCTGTTGTGCATTTGATAACTCACCTCCGTGATATAAAAAGTGAAGTTAAATTTTGTGGCCCACTAGTGCAACAATTACAATCATCTCTTGAAAAGAGATTCTGTGGTATCATGAAACGATTAAATCAAGCTGATGCTATCAATGATGAAAATTATGGTGATCCAGTGTACTTCATGGCCGCAGTTCTCGACCCTGCATTCAAATTCTTCTGACTTCGCGATGTACTATTGTCCGTTCAAATGGAAAATCGATTAAAACAACATATTATTCAATTAATTATTGATGAAATGAATAAAGAGCCAATTGTATCACCAGGACATTTTAATAGAATCAGACCCACAAGAACATCAACATGTTCTGCGTCAACACCTAAAGCCAAGCGCCGCAAATTGTTTGATTACGATAATGTTAATGATGCTGATTTAAGTGAACCGAAAATGGTAGTCGTACAGTATCGTTCAAATA